GATCTGATCCAGTTCAAGAAATCTTAGAAAAGGTCGAAAGTACTTAGGTTAAAATAAACTATTGCTCCTTCCTAGATAAATTTCATCTTAACAATCAAGAAACTGGTTAGAAAACTGGAAAGGCTTAGTAAAGGATGAGTAAAAATAAGTAGACACAATACATCTACATTGTTCAATGAAACATGTTTGAATGAAGATATGCTGCCTAAATATACAATATATATATATATATATATATATATATATATATATATATATATATATATTGTCCATATTTAGGCGGCAATTTTTCATTAATGCATCTATCATTAAATAATATAGACAAGTTTTGTCTATTTTAAGTAAGTTTCTTCAATATTGACTGATAAGCTTAATAACATTATCATTGAAACAACATGCCTGGACGCGTATACAATTCAGGGAAAATACTTATTGAAAACACAACTATACTTAAACATGAAAACAATAAACAAAAACAAATTTTTTTTGAAGCTATATACATAAAACAGATGAAATCAAACTTGAACAAAATAAACTACGAAATCTCCACAAATATTCTTAAATGCCTATAATTGATAACAGAAGCCATTGGTTTATACCAACGGCTTCCCATACTTAATATTTCTCGTTTTCACTCTCGCGTGGTCATGTGTGACGTCACGAGCTGCGACGCGATTTTCGCTTCCGCGTCTCGTATACACGAGTTAGTCGTTGCTTTGAAATTTTTCTTGCAACAAAAACAGACTATCATTATTGCTTCATCCGTGTATTGGTTGATATATTGAAAAATAATTGTCATCTTTGATAATGGCTTATGCAAGCCGAAAGCTTAGATTGGATTTAAACTTATATCAATATAGTGATTTCCTTTCGTCTTTCAATGATAATATTATTAAGCTTATCAGACAATATTAAAGGAACTTATTTAAAATGAATAGACAAAACTTGTCTATATTATTTAATGAAACATGCATCAATATATATGTGTGTGTGTGTGTAAAAATATATAGAAAATAGGAAAGAACTTGTTAGGTAAATAATCCAAAGTTCTTTAGTATTTTTGTTATTATTTTAAAAAAATAGTGCTCGATACAAAAGTATATATATATATATATATATATATATATATTTATTTATTACACGAGCAATTTTGATATTTTATATTACTAGAATCCACTTGGATTATATACCGACGGATTTATTACCTGGACTATATATATATATATATATCAAGAATTATAACGTAAGTATGTTACAACAGCACTACAAAAATAGCTATTTTGTTTCAACACTTCTGGTGTCTTGTCAAGTGATGGTGTTGATTGCAGAATAAAGAGTTAAAAAAAAATTCAAAACCAAACAAATTCCCCTCAATAGCGGAAACATTGTTACATAAGCTACAATGACCAATCAAAACACAAGTATATGATAATTAAAAAAAAAAAAAAAACTTGACAACGGATCTTAGATATAATGTATTAATGACTTAGTATTAATGTTAGACTAAATTAGAAATCATTCTGATTAACTTTTAATTTTATTATAAAGTTGAAAAATAAAAATTACAGATTTTAAATTTAACCCTGCGTTAAGTTTAAAATATAAAATTGTTGGAAGAAGGAACGGAGAAAATTATACATTATTTATTTATTTATTGTTTTAATGGAAAAAGCCAAAACTTCAATTAAAAGGAAACGCTAATCTAAGCAGATTCAAACATCGGAATAACTTAGATACAATTGAAGGGATCTGAATTCAGATGATGTGGGTAGAGGAAGATGTTTTACAAATGACAGGACAGACACAATCGCATCGTAATACACAAACACATAAGTATATTTAGATATATAAACACGCAAAAACATGAACGACACAGTAAATAGAGAAATCCACGCCAACGAATATATATATATATATGTGTGTGTGTGTTTCATTAAAGACGGAAGACAAGGTACTGCAATTAAACATTTTCTTTAATTTTTCTTGTGTTCGAACAAGTGTTTTCTTTTCTGGATACAATCATCCTTGATAATGGCTAAAATTATAATGGAAAGCGCACGGAATTATAGGACATTTGGATAGTTTTTATACACTTTATGCCCAAAAAAGAAAACACGTGTTCGAACACAAGAAAAATTAAATAAAAATCTTAATCGTAGTACTTTTTCTGTCGTCTTTAATGAAACATGTATAAAAGAGGCATTGTTTCCTAAATACACAATATATATATATATGTACAATGTGTGTATATAAAAATATACATACATATATATATATATATATATATATATATATATATATATATATATATATATATACATGCAGTTTTTATATATATTATTTATATATTACATATGCGAGGTAGTTTAGGAAAACCGCTCAATATCAGCGATACAACTAACATATTTAGTTGCATTGATGTGAGTTTGTGACCCTGGGTTTCACGTCCTTTGCGATCGTCAGATAAACTGATGATAGCAAAGGGCGTGAAACAAGGGTCTAAACTCACATTAACGCAACTATATATATATATATATATATATATATATATATATATATATATATATATATATATATATGTAATAGTACTCGTTTGGAAAACCTCGGATATCTAAACTTGCAGATATGTCAGGACAAATCGGTAACCGAGGAGAAAAATTGGAAATAAAAAAAAAAAAAAGAACTAAAAACATCAGAACAAAAATAAACAAATTTAAGTCCTTAGTCCAAAGAGCCAGTTTACCCTGAAGATCTGTTTAGGTTAAACCTGGGTAGGTTTATCTGGCTCTTTAGGATTTATTCTTTCTCTCTCTCTCTCTCTTTCTCTCTCTCTCTCTCTCTCTATATATATATATATATATATATATATATATATATATTTAAAAGAAAAACAGACCACTTTAAGGTACCATTATAATAATTTATTTCACCAGAGCCCTTTTAAAGGACGCCGGATCATCAGATAACACTTCCAAAAATGAAATGGAACGAAACGTTTCATTCCATTTTTGTGAAATAAATTATTATAATGGTACCTTAAAGTGGTCTGTTTTTCTTTTAAATATTAACTCTGGATTTCCATTGAGCTCACAGGATTTCATCCTCCTTGGGATTATCAAGTTCTTCATAACTTATATATATATATATATATATATATATATATATATATATATATATTCTTGTATATTTGGGAGAAATAAAAGATTTTTTGATTTTGAAGTTTATACAAATTTTGGATTACATTCGCTGTATTTTGTTAATGAGCAAAGTGTAGTATCTGTTTTCTTTTGTCAACGAAAGGTACCATTTACTTTTGGTTAGGAGTATGTCGCATAACTTCAGCGTATAATAACGATTTCATCGAAAACTAAACAACGTCAATCAAATCTGAATGTGATGTTAGTGACATAATACACTGTCGCAAAACACATACACTTCGAAAGATGACAGATGACAAAATACGTAATGGTGGTGGCGGTGGTAGTAATTGTTGGAGGGGCAGCAGTGGAAA